AATAAATAATACCATTATACAAAACTTATGATAATGGTTTATTACTGAAGTCTTTTTTTAAAAAAAGAGTATTAAATGGATAAGTTACTGTGTACAAGAACGATTTCATTTAGTTAAATATGAACAAGAACTGTGCAGAAACGTTTAGTAGAACAAAACTTCAAAGAAAGTAATGATATAAAAATTTATTTACATTAATTCATATTTGTACACTTATTTACACAAACTGTTTTTCTCAACCTAATGAATAAATGAAAGCATGTTAAAATTAACTATACATGTTTATTCCTCTCCAATAAACTTCGGTACATTTAACGAATACTCAATTTTTAATACTTTTGAAGAAAATGAAAAAAATCCAATATAACAAAGTCGAGTACAATTTTTATCAACCTGGTCACATGATTTCAATAAGAACAAGTAAAAACTACAACCCTAGGTTAATTTTTATACTTCGTATTAGTGAAGTTAAAACTTCCACAGCTGTTTCTACTTCCACATAAATAATCTAAAAAGGATGAGTCATACATTTACCATTATCAAACACTTAACTACACAAGGGTTTGTTTTAATTTCACGCAAAGCTACAGGACATCTATCTGTGCTAGCCGTCCCTAACTTAGCAATGATAGACTTGAGGGATAGTAAAATCTTAGGCTAATCTTTTACCAACGAATAATGGGCCTAATAATGCCCAATTAATTAAACTACAGTGTCAAATAACAAAATTAAATTTTATAACAGTTCAGATCTTTTGCTATGTCATTAGCAAATACTGTAGAAAACACAAATAAGCAACATAATCTATTCTTGTTAATACTTATGACCTTAAAAAATAAAAACACCTTAAGAAAACATTTAATTATTTTTCCTTTTCTAAAAACTTTATTGTATATTTCTTTTATGTAACTTGAGACATGTTTTTAACATACTGTTCAACCTTATCACACTTTCCATTCAAAATATGTTATCGTATTTATAAATAAGAAATAATTTTATTATTTCAACAGTACACATGAATTTCTTATATTGGCCTTTTTTTTGAAAATATTTGAAATTTTTACAACAGGGCTATTTTCAGTAATTTTCTTCTCATAGGCCATGGACTACTGGGGACTATCGTGCACCCCCCCCCCCCCCCACACACACACATGATTAATGTTTTCACAGAGCTGTAAGGTATTCTGAACATGAACACCAAACGCCAGCTCACCATAACAGTGATTTGACTGACTGTTAGGGGCCCCAAAGTGCTGTAAAACACCACAAACATCATATCAAATGAAAACAAATCACATTATCTATTATTATGTGATCAAATATGGCTTTTATTTCATCAGTGATTGATTTTAAAACTTTGAGGTAGTTGTCACAGCGTAACCAACTTTTTGGTTCCTTTCTCATTTTTTCTGGTATTAGAATACATTTATTGTTTAAGATATTTAAAATGCATAACAAGTTTGTTTGAATTTCGCGCAAAGCTACACGAGGGCTATCTGCGCTACCATGCCTAATTTAGCAGTGTAAGACTAGAAGGAAGGCAGCTAGTTATCACCACTTGGAGTACTCTTTTACCAACGAATAGTGGGATTGACCGTACATTATAACGACCCCACGGATGAATGCATGTTTGGTGGGACAGGGATTCGAACCCGCGATCCTCAGATAAATACAAGTGGCTTCTATTATACAGTAGCGTAGTGACCTATAAGCAGGGTAGGGCAATTGCCCTAGGTCGCAGGTCTTCGGAGCGCCAAAATGACCAAAAAATAATAATAATAAAAATAAAATAAAAATATTATAAGAAAAATAAAAAAATTATCAACAGTAACAAAAATTACCCCCCCCCTACTTATTGAACACTATTTTAGCCTTATAATACAGTTAATACTAGTTAATAGAATAGTTTAAATAGTGCTACTTATTTACTGTGATAATCAAAAAGGCGTTTCTGGTTAATGGAATAGTCAAAAAGGCGCCCCTAGATATTGAAATAGTTTAAATGGCGCCCCCTAGATAACGGAATAGTTTAGATGGCGCCCCCTAGATAATGGAATAGTCTAAATGCGTCTCTGCATGCCTGCCTGCTTTCTGTACAGTGCGGTTATCTGCATTACCGCATCTTAATTGAATGGTTTGTAGATGTTAAGTATTTTATTTATCAAACCAAAGCTTTTATTTTTGCACGTGCATGAAATTCAAGGCTCAACGTTTGATTACTCTTACTGTATACTGGCACGTGATATAGGTGTATAGTTAACCTATCGCCCCTATTACTTTGCTTTTGCATGGTATTTACTACTTAGCCATATTATCCTAACCATACAATAGATTGAACGTTACCAGCTCCGATAAGTGATTAATAATATCTTGAACTTTTACGTCTAAATACAAAACAATTCCGATTAATAATTTCTTTTTCAAATTTTCATTTTCAGCAAACATGTTTGGAAAAAAACTTAGTGGCGCCAAATATATAAAAAGAAAAGTTAAAAATGAAGAAGTCTAGGAAAGTTATGGAAGCCTTTTTTAAGCCATCCCAAGCGGAAAAATCAACAAATAGCAATGAAGACAGACAAGCAAAGCCAGGATGAAAACAGTACGGAAACAGGAAACCACAAGGAAGATATTTGTGAAGAGGGGGATCCGAGAGTGCAGGAAACGGAAGACCACAAGAGAAACAAGAGGAAAGACAAAGAATAGATCAGGCAAGTGTTGAGAAAGATCAGCAAGACAATGGAGGGAGTGATAATGGTGACCCTTGCCTGAACAATCAGAATGATATAAATACAATTCCACCAGTCCAACGATGTAGGTCTGTTGACATTTGATAAAACATCACAGAAACCCCAATCTGATAAGTTGCGAAAAGAGATGATAAGACAGGGTTCATTAGTATTCCAAAACATGGATGGACCTTTTGCAAGTGAGCAGGGACACACTCTTTCAGCTTCATGGTTCAAGCTTCGACTTCCCAATGCACAAAAAAAGGAAGTAAATAGAACGTGGCTTGTTTATTCACCATGAACTAAAGCAGTGTATTGTTTTCAGAGTGCAGTTCTAATACGCGTTTATGCTTTGAAAAAATCTGGTGGATTTAACAATAGGAAACATAATAAAAGAATCATAACTCATGAAGAAAGTGCAGGCCACCAGAAAGCAGGATGAGTAATCGAAGGGGAATGATGCAAAATTGGAAGCTAATGTGGTCATTGAACAAGAGCGTTGTGGTGTCAGTTTTTACATCGCCTACTAAACTGTACAAAATATCTAGCAACTCAGAACCTTGCATTCCGTGGCCATCATGAGGGTCTCGCTAATTCCAAACACAAACCTGGAAATTTCTTATCACTCTTACAACTTTTACACAATCACTTACAAAACGCAAAACAAAATCCAAAATTAGTGTCATACCTATCTCCACAAGCCCAAAACGAAACTATCAGCCTTCTTGCTTCTGAAATTAAACATGAGTTGTTATCCGTTATTAAGCGAAATAAATATTACGGAATAATGTTAGACTCTACACCTGATGCTGCACACAGAGAACAAATGTCAGAAATCATAAGGTATGTGGGTATAAATTTAAAGAATAAAACAATCGTAATTAAAGAATCATTCTTTGGATTTTACAACTTCTGAGGAAAGATACAGCTACAATTGAACAAGTAATATTGAACAAGCTTGACTCGAACACGCTCAATTTAGATAGACTGTAGATCACAATGCTATGACAATGCAGTCGTGATGTCTGGCCTAAAACAGAGAATACTAGAAAAAAATTCCAAAGCCATTTTTACAAATTGTGATAACCATAGTTGAAATCTTGCCGGAGTACACTCTGCTGCCCAGGAGACATTGGCAGTGACATTTTTTGCTGTTATTCAAAGTATATACCTATTTTTTTTTTTTTATCAAGGTAAATTCAGAGATGGGATAAGCTAAGAAGTGTTGTAGGTTCCACAGTAAAACAAGAATCTCACACTCGTTGGAGTGGAAGCAGTCAAAGCTATCCACAATAACTTTGATAAGCTAATAAGGTTACTAGAAACGCTATCAGAGGACGTTGAGCAAACAATCGAAACGAGAGGAGAAGCTGGCCAAATACTTCACAACATGCTATCTTTCAATTTTTGCACTTTTGGTATAACACATTGATAAAAAGTGATTGTGTGCAGAAGCTCTTAAAAGATCCAACAACGAACTTTCAAGAGGCATATAAAGATATTAATGCCCTGTAATTATACAAATTTTGAAAACCGTGAGGAACTGTGTTAGAACTCACTAAAATAAGGAAAAGACAGATGTGAGATATATGGAATTGAAATAAGCAGAAGAAAAAAGGCAATGAGTGGAGAAGTATCAAGAGACAAAGGCCTTTCAGCCAAGGGAGAGCTAGAAAGGGCATTGAAATGTATTCTCAATTGCCTCCAGTAAGAGATGAAAACCAGATTCACAAGAATACATGACCTAAATGAGAGATTTGGAATCCTTTTATAACACCCACAAGCTATTGAAAGATACCAGTGTTCCGTCAACATCAGAACCTTCCGTTAAAAAAAAGTGCGATCGTTTGGACATATTATACAACACTGACATAGATGGAAATGCACTCTATCATGACTGCAAAATGATCATCAATACATGCCAGGAAGCTGCACCAGACTCTGTTATTGATTTATTATCATTCATAATAGCATATGGAGTGGATGTTTTCCCAAATATGCCTGTGGCATTGCAAATCATGCTAACAGTTTCAGTTTTAATTGGTAACTGCAAAAGATCATCCATGGGGCACTGGCTCAGTGACTTAGCCATAATAAACATAGAGAGGGAAACACCTGAAAAAATTAATTTTCACAAAATAATGGATAAATTTGCTGCAGTTAAAGCAAGGAAGTTGTATCTTGTATAATTCATCCAATTAAAGAAAGGCCATGATTCCATATGCGTGTAAATAATCATTCCTGTTCTATTATTTCATATTGATAAACTTTGTATACAATATTTTATTTTATTAATAAAGTTTCCCACATTACATAGACTTTCATTTTACAGTAGGCTATGACAGAGATATCTTTATTTTAATGGGGGTGTATGTGTGGAAGTGGGTGCAAATTGATGTTTTGGCCCCAGGGTGCCAAATACCCTCACTACTATTGCTTTTATACAGCAATGCTATGCCAGATGGATTCTATAAGTATTGTGTTATCATTCCTCCTCAATTAAGATGGATTGCTTCATGGATTGTGTAAGTGTAAACTACTTGTGCCTGATGATGACAAAACCTTGTCGTAACATTGTAAATTTGCTGTTGTTAAATTTATATTAAAGTTTTTTTTCATTACCCATTCAAGCCGTATATAAATTAATTAAATAAGATTAAAAATTTGGAAAACACTGTTTGTTGTTATTGCTGTTTATAAGGACTAAAATATCTCTACTAGTGTCCATTCTTTATATATCTTTGATTATCTTCAATCATAGAACACAGATCTGTTTACAGAGGTAGAATTCTCACCAACCTGCTTAGAATAGGATGCACATTACCATTTGGAACTGTGAAGTATAAAGATCATTTATTGAACTCAAAAGTACAAAAATCTTTATGCGAGCCCCCATGTCAGAGGAGCAACTCACTGGCTTGATGCTGAAGCACCTCTACCAGAGCTGCAATATTGACATAGATGCAATCTGCCAAAAACTTGTTCTGTGATTCTATGTTGCATAACTAGCTTCTATATCATTCCTGCTTCCATGAGCAGATGACCCCATTGACAGTTATATCAATTGTCAATAACACCAACTAAATAAATAACTATGAGTTTAAAACAAACCATTGTCTTTGTGATTGATATTTATAATTACTAAAGCAGTACCTGATTTCACAGTCAAAGGTGCCCAATAAAGAACAATTATCACCCTAGAAGTGTAAACAAGATGAGAGTGCAGGCCCACAGACACAAAAGCAACCAACTTGTATAGTTCATATTTCAGATTTACACTATGGACCACTACAACTCCTCTCTAAAAGTAGTGACAGACAAAGCAGACTTAACAGATTGCAAGATGTTCAGAGAAGGAGGCTGTCCCACCCACTCAGCACAGTTCGTAAAATGGAAGACTTTTGTGCACTCATATCTGATAACATCAAGGAACATCACAGTTGTCATACAGAATGTTACAAAAGATTCATGATGAATCTTAACTGACTCACAACCATATCCGTTCCAACAGAGACAGCATGCATTTCAAGAAATAGTACCAGACAGTCAAATGGCAGGGAAAAAGTGCTTTTCAAACCTGATTGCATTTTCTACAATTCTGAAAGCTGAAAAAAAAAGTTAAAGGAAAGTGAATAACAAAGGGGATGTCTCACAGTTCTAGACACAGGAGAAATACTGGGTGACAAGGAGCTTTTGACAAGAATAAGGGGACACAACCTCTTTGCAAGTGAAGACAAATATCACAAGTCATGTAGAACAAAATATTTGCAAAATCTAGAAAATGGAGAACACATAGCACCATGATGCAAAAGTCCACAAATTTAAATTAAACGAAGCACGTGTGAAGGAGGTGATGATGCCATGAAAGATGCAAACATGTAACACATGATCTGGATTATGATCAGAATGTTGAGCAGTGGGTTGGAACAAAAAGTCCTTAGTTGGGCTGGATTTGTTTCTCTAAACTGGAAAGAAACCTACAAACCTTTAATGAATTGAGTATTATCCAGTTATTGCAAAACCAGTTACAGATTACAGAACCAAACAAGAATGTTTGAGGTAAGCTGAGGAGGCAATGGGTGAGGTGAAGCAGCAATACGTCATCACAACATTTCATTTAGGCACCCGCATGAAGGCATATCTGATTGTTTGGAATGGCTCTGAGAAGTATGAAAAACATATTGTACTTATTGGCACATGTCCACATCAAAATGATTGACGTTACTAGAGGTGGGCTTGTGTGCTTCAGGTTCTTTAGGTGGTGTTATGTCAGGTAGGCACTATGACATGAGCAATGAACTGTCCAAAATGATGCTGAAATGCCTCAAGAGGTTACTCCTGGAGACATATCTTTCACGTTGTGGTGAGAATCAACTCTTCTCATCTATGCAATATGATACAAAAGTGAAGTTGGATGATCTGGTGCAAGCCCCTTCAAAACAAACACTGAACTCACTGTTAGAAGACATGTCAATGACGAATTACATCCAGGTTTACATGCAGTATCATATTGATGTTTGTAGAGAACTCTTCAGCAAGATGGCTTAACTTTGGCTCTTATACACAGATCATGTATTCCTGGTTCTCTCTCTCAATGCAAACAGTGAAAGATAACGATTTTCTTCTGCATGCATAAAGTCTGCACTTGAGGGCAGATGTCTCCTTCAGCTTTGGTGGCAAGAACTCAGTATATAAACAACACTTTCAACTTAGCAGACATGATATGTGATACACTTGATGGAATGAAGCAGCATGATGCTTGACCATTAGAGATATTGAGGAGTGAAAAGCAACACAGAAAAGCTCCAGAAGTGATTGAGAGATTCTTAAACCCATTCACCACAGACGACAAAGAACAGTTGCTAATTTTGTCATCTGATGCTGCAGCCTCTTCCAATGTCCAATACGATGTTCTCCGAGCAGAAAATGATGGCAATGAGGCAAAATATTCCTTCATGAAGGATCAACTGGAAACTGGGAGAGACTTCTTTGAGCCAATAAAATGGCTCAATCTTAAAACCTTGGGCAATATGGACAAAATCTCAAAACCAAGGGTTTCAACTGGACTTGAGATAGTTCATGACTTACCTGCTAACTCCTGTGCCATAGAGTATTGCAATCGCTGAAAGATTTTTAGCCAAAACAGACAAATGCAAAGCACTTTAATACGTAACAAGGGATTGTGAAGACACAGATACCACACCACCAAGTAAAACTCTGATGATTCAAGATGGTAATGCATGCTTCCACTATTTGAAAGAAATAGCAAGTAGCTTCAGCCAGATCTGCAGCAAGGTTTTGAGATGATGCCACGGTCCAGTGATGTTGTATTCAGTACCAAGAATTTCAAGAAAAACTCTGAAAACAATGGAATGACAAAGGAAATGCACGGGAGACCAACTCATAGTAAAGGGAGAGAATACCAAAAAAACACCTAATTGGAAACTCTTTCTAGCAAATGATGAGAACAAAGTGCAATTCATTCAGCTTCTTTGTAGTATTTGGTCTCAAAACGTGTATTCCAGAAAACTTCAAGGGAGAAAGGTCATTGTCATATACAAGGAATCAGCATATCTGCTAACATCTAATGATGGCCATACAACATACACTGGTGAGATCTAGACTCTAAGATCATTCCAAGAAGAAAATGATTCAAAATCCATCTTGTATTGCAAGTATGCTGAGTTTCAGGGTAGATATGAGTATGTTAAAGTGAAGATCCCAGACAATGACGTATTCTCCATTCTGCTGCACTATGTCCCAACACTAGAAAATCTTGCACTGTCCTTTGACACTGGTACAGACAACAACTGTAGTGTCGCATCCTGTGGAAGCATGTAAGCTCATCAAAGCTGTACAGTGTTACTGAGTGTATGCCTGCGCAATCTCACTGATGTTGATGAGCTTACATGCTTGCACAGGATGCGACACTACAAGTTCTTTCAAAGGAATTGGAAAAGTGAAGCCTTTGAAAATGCTCCTGAAAATGTCCAAGTTTGTTCCAATGCAAGCTAAATTGGGAGACTTGTGGGATGTGAATGAGGAACTCGTTGATGAGCTTGATGCATTCATATGTGCCATATATGGGTGAGCAAGTGGTAAACATGTCAATGATCTTTCAATCATATGAATGAATGAATTGTGAGACCCAAGCAATTAACTGAATCAGTCAAAACCATAGATATTGCAATACTACCCCCTTGTTGAAAGTGTTTGGAGCAGCATACAAGAAGTGTGAATTATCAGGTTAGTGTATGAAAAAGGGCCCACATTCCACAGCCTGATGCTTCTGAAGCAGCACATGACCAAGGCTGGTTACCTTGGGATGATAGAATCTCTATGGTATGAAGGGGATGCACTTCCTCAACAGATATCATAGCCAAAATAATGGCTTCAAGTGACAAAGGTGACTCCAATATTGTTCCTAGATCATGTAGATCTTTCGGCCTATATAACAGACAGCAATGCAGAGAAACAGCATTATCATGATTATGAAAGACTATAACATTTGAAAAGACAGTAAATGACAACTAATCTTAATCTGATTTTGGTTATATTGTATATGAACATCATTTCACCCTCATGATAAAACATTGTATAATTAGTAGAAAACTTGAAAAAATATTTTTTTTTTTTGATATTGTTGTAGCTTTTAAACAAGATTGTGATTAGTATATCATCTTTAATATCATTCAATGGATACAAATAATAGATCTATATTAATATAACTTGGATGTGAAATTCAGAGTCACTTATCGTAGATAGTTACTAGAAAGCCTATATATATTGGCTAAATCAATTTTATGTAATTACTGCCATCTGGCAAAATACATTGCAAGTTGATGTCAAATAAACATGGTTAGCAGTAATTTAGAATGTGTTCAGAGAAGTATTGATATATGTCCCTCATGGTTATCACATCTTTCTAAAGTGGGTTGCCAATACAGAACTGATGCTAATGGTGCTCTGTTTGAAGAAAATATACTTGTTATGCATTTTAAATATCTTAAATAATAAATGTATTCTAATACCAGAAGAAATGAGAAAGTTACTTCATGAATGACATCCAAAAAATTGGTTACACTGTGACAACCACCTCAAAGTTTCAAAATCAATCATTGATTAAATAAAAGCCATATTGAGTCACATAATATAATGGGCACTGTGATTAGCTTTCATTTGATATGTTATTTGTTGTGTTTTCTAGCACTTTGGGGCCCCTAACAGTCAAATAAATATTATGGCGATTTTGTGTTTGATGCTTGAGGCTGAAAACGCAGTTGAAGGGTACCACTATATAACTGGACCTAACAGGTAGTGCATCCCAAAATTTGCAATGTTAACATTTTAATTTATGTTCAGAATACCTTAAAGTTCCAAAAAAACACTTATGTTGGGATGTATGTGTGGGGAGATGCACGGTAAGCCCCAATAGCTCATAGCCTGAAAATATTAAATTGAAGAACCTCATAATGGAAAATGGTTTGATTAACATCTGATCCTTGTTTCAACAACTTCATGATACAAACCTTTAACACAGCTCTTATTAATCTCTATAGCAACAACAAAATACACCACAGTTTTCCAATGATTTGTTTCGACTTCATGCTGAGATAATGAAAATATTTATAATTTTTACATCTAACAGAAACCAGTGTTATTTATTAAACAATTAAAATATTACTTTACATGTTAACATTCAGTGACATGGCACCATTGTTTTAACAATATAACTGTGTGAGACATACAAATCCCATTCAGTACTTTCAGAAACATAATTTAGTGACACTCAGTTAAGTTTAACCAAAACAAACCAGTGTTCTAAACAAATTTAAAATCTGATGATATATCACAAAAGATAAGACTAACATTCACTTGTTGGTTCTAATTGTGACTGTACAGTATGGTCTTCTTGTGTTTTAACAACAGCTTTCCCATCTCGTACTTCCACAGGTAACATCAATGTCTGACTATTACTGTCATAGGTAATATTACCATGTGCTAATTGCTCCAAGGTTGTGGAGTCTGCTGCTACAAAAGCATACTGTGAAAAATAAAAATTATAATCCATCAATACTAAAGAAAAAAAAGCAAAACATATACATAAAAATCCATATCGGAATATGTTTCTTCTTTTTTCATATTAATAATTCTTACTAATAAAATTCACCTGTGAAGTCATTGAACAAAATATTTCTTTATCACTTTCTATACTATGATTTCAGAAGAGATTATTTCTCTCGTGTGTAAGTGCAGAATTCCAATAAGCTGTGAATAAGAAATAATATACTTTATAGTTAGGATTTTTGTATCTAATAATGAAGTAAAAGAAATATAAAATAACTTCATAGATTATATTTGAGCTATTGATATTACCTTCTTAAATAGTAAATTATATTAATACAAACAGAAAAAAAAATGTTACTCATCACACAGTTCTTCATAAAATGTGGTTTGACTATTTTATTGTATTCTTGACACCATTAAACCACTGTTATTAAACTATAAAATAAAGACAACTTTAAGAAGCAGAATTAACTACTTGTACTTATGTATATACTTATAATTAGTATTAAGTATAGTTACTTAATAACGAGAACCTTGTTTATAATGTATTCATAGTTTACTTACCATTCAGTAATTAACCACTCATAAATTTATTAAGAACTAAAGATGTATACATTTTCATAATGAATAATACACCAAACCAAAACCCATGTAATGCATTAGTACATACATTAATAACTTCTTTCTAAAATAAATTATGTTTATTTTTATTGTTTTTATACATTCACTTAAATATTTGGAAAATGTTCTTTATAAGAAGATGAAAAAAAAAAATTCGTGGTTTGATGGCACATGCAGTGAATGTAGACAAACAAAAACCAATATATTACAATATTAGTTTCAGTGTATGTTTAATAAAAACATTGTAATAAAAAAGCATAAACTTTGAATTTGACCAATTTATATTAGTCTTCTTTTGTTTTACATAATACATACAATTTCATATGGTTTGCTGTTTCATTTGGCTACAGAGGAGTCAAATTTAGCCCTATGTTTTTTCCAATATATTAGTCTAATTGCTACAAAATTTTAAAAAGTCAATTTCAAATCTGCTTTACGTATGTACTTATAATGAGAATGTTTATTTTTATAATGCATTCACAGACCCACTAATAATTGTTTTATTTAATCACAAAAACAAATTGTACATCTTGCATAATTCATACCCTTTAAGGATGATACAATATTATTAAACTTTTTTGAATACTCATACCTAAACTTCTGTTTGCTATAAAACTTTCTTGTCTTTGTTGGAGTCATTGGGGATGAAGCAGAACCAAGTTTTTCCTTCATTTTCCTCTCACAAAATTAACAGTGCACCCTAGATGCCTACTACTTACATTTTTTTTAATACTGAACTGCTTGAAAGATTGAGATGCAAAGCAGAGAACAATGAATTATTTCCAGAAAATTACTAGTAGAAAAAAATGTCAGTGAAAATTTCCAAACTTTTGCATTAAATCATAAAATAACACAATCTGTACAGGCCTAAAATGAAAAACAAAAATATGGAACAATTATGCCTAAATTCCTAAGAGTTGGCAGGTCTGTATTGATCGTAAGGTTCTTCCAACAGTACTTGGGGTATGTACCTGAGAGTCAGAATTCTCCGAGTTTGTTAATATGGCTAATTCACCATTAGAAGCATAGATCTGAGGTCCTTGGAAAACAAACTCTCCATCTTGAACAGCAAGATCTTCAATTGTGGCAACAGTTCCATCAGCAAGTGTGAAAGTAACTCCAGATCCTTCAAAAAAAAAGCTATATAGTTTTAGATATGAGTGGATATTATTTTATATTTGGTTATTACTGAACTATAGCACAAGTGTTAAATGTGTTCCAAAAATAAGTTTTCTGTGACACTAGTGTTTCAATTCTATGATGATAGAGAACCAATTCATTTCAGGCTTTGGAGCAATAACTGGACAAACCATCCTTAAAGATGAAGTACAGAAAATCATAAACTTAATGAAAAATGGAAAAACAACTGGATCAGATGATCTGTCAGCAAAAATGGTGAAAGCATTAGATAATTACAACCTTAATATTATAACCAACTTATGCAATGTAATATATAACACTGGATACATACCAACCGAAATGAAACAATCTATATTTGTTTCACTACCAAAAAAACTCAAAACACAGAACTGTACAGACTTCAGAACAATCACTTTAATGAGTCATATCACCAAACTGCTCTTGAAAGTAATACAGCAATGAATAGCAACCAAAATAGACCAAGAAGTAAGTAATTTATAGAGTGGGTTCAAACCAGGATGTGGTACAAGGGAAAGTATTTTTAATCTGAGAACAATCTCAGAACATGCCATAGAGATCCAACAAAATGTATATATATATATATATATGCTTTATAGATTACACTAGGCTTGTGATAGGGTAAAACACTTAAAGATGATAGAATGCTTACAGGAGATAGGAATTTATGAGAAAAATCTTCAAATCATCACAAAGATGTATTGGGAAGAAACAGCAGCAGTAAGAACAGAACAGATAAAAACACCAGAGTTTACAACCAAGAAAGACATAAGACAAGGATGTATATTGTCATCTAGTTTGTTTAACTTATACACAGAAAAAATATTTCAAGAAATAGAACATATAAAGGGAGTAGTGATCAGTGAAATTAACATCAATAACCAGAGATATGCAGATGACACAGCAGTACTAACTAAATGTATGAGATCTACAAGAGTTAGTAAACAAAGTAAATGACATGGGAATGGAGTTGAATACTAAAAAGACCAAATCAAAGGTAGTAACTAAGAACCAAGATGTACCTGGAATCAATCTAACTATAGAGAGAACATTAATTGAACAAATAAAAAATTGTATACATTTAGAACACATGAGCAGTGAAGATGGTAAGAGCAAAGTGGAAATTCAAAGAATAGGAATAGCTAGGAGTGCATTTAACATGTCAAAAATATTAACATCAAGAAACATTAACATAACAACATGAATGAGACTAGTCAAATGCTGTGTGTGTGTGGACAACCCTATTATATGGTGCTGAAACATGGACAATATCTAAAGCAACTGCTAAAAAGATTGAGGCATTTGAAATGTGGATCTACAGGAGAGTAAAAAATAGCATGGAGAGAACACAAGACAAATGAACAAGTATTAGAAATACTGAAAACTAAAAGAAATATAAATAGGAGAAATGGAATACAAAGCCTGTTGCTAGAATGAAAAATTAATGGGAAAAGAGAAAGAAGTAGACCAAGAAATATGTAGATGGATAACATCATAGAATGGATGGGAACATCATTAGTAACTGTGTTATAATGGTGGAAAGAATAGAATAGTGGTGCTCCATGAGAGTCAACCTGCCTCAAGCAGATGACACATGATGATGAATGTTTCAATGACTAACTGCATTGGAATACATAAAATACTTTAAAATTAGGAGCTCTACCTTTCACATACGTAAATAAACTTCATTTTTCTCCCCAATGAATACTAATGTTAAGCACACATATAAACAATACATCACAGATATGACACTCTTTGAGTAAAAATAAATCTGAGATACTCACCTAACGATGTCAATTGATCATTGGTATCTGGCAACTGATTCTCCACTTCACTTTGCATACTTAGGTTTGTGTGCTCACCTCCTGAAACTTGGACCTGCACTGTTCCTTCCACTGCAGGCAAGTTTTCTCCACAATGATTCGTTTCTTGATGTTCCTTAAATGTGAATTTATACTAAATTTATGCAATATGATAATGACACGGAAATATGTATTATAATGAAGATATACAGTACTGTGCAAAAGTGTTAGGACAAGAGAATATTTTGTTATTCTTTCCATTTTATAGGGCTAATTCTTCCATCTCATTACAGAATGTAAATTTCAACATTATGGTAATGCTTCACTGATCCCTGTTGACAGTTGAATGAGCCAGTGTGAGAATACTTATCATTCTTTAGAATTCCCATATAATTGTACCAAGGACATGTCATAAGGGTTCTACTTGAATGAACATACTGATCAAATTTAGGATCTGAAATAACTGTCAAGGTACCCCATGCAGTGTCTTAACTATATAGAAAAAAGCTAGTATGTGGTACCAGTATATGCTAGAAAAAAATCAATTTAATAGCACTCCAGAAATAAACCTTGATAAAAACTGTTTAATATTATAAATTAAGTTTTGTTGTCATGCCACTGCCCAAAAAGTGTAGAGAATTGTCAGTAGAACAGAGAGTTTCCATAAGAGCTTTACATGATGCTGGTTGGACTCTCCAAAAAATTGCTGCAAACTTGAAATGCTTCCAAAACACTGTCAAGTACATCCTAGATCGTGGGACCAAGACAGGTAAATTTTAAAATAGGAAAGAAAGAGGCAGAACACCTAAACTCAATGATACTGATGTTAATTATCTTCATTTATACAGAACAGAAGGAACACTGCCACTGATCTCAAACATTAGATAAACGACCATGTAACAAATGACAGAGAAGTGTCCAGTTCTATAGCATCAAGAAGACTCAATGAGAATAGAATATTTGGTTGAGTAGCAGTTAAAAACACCTTTACTTCGATCTCCAAATATTGTCAAGAGACTGAAGTTTGCTAAAAATTACAAAAACTGGGCTGTTGATGATTGGAAAAGACTGTTATGGACAGAACAGATGAGTCTAAGTTTTAAATATCTGGTTCAAAGTGTAGGTTGTACGTTAGATGGAAGAAAGGTGAAAGATACTTACTCAATTCATAGTACCTACCAAGAAACATGGGGGAGGCAGTGTGATGGTTTGGGAGTGTTTTTCTGCTGAGGCAACAGGAAATAGTTGCAAAATAGATGGAATAATGGATCAGTGCATATACCATCAGATACTGATCCATCATAGTATACCCAGAGGTTTGGGTATTATTGGTAAAGGATTCTACTACCAAGAAGATAATGACTCCAAACACTCATCCAACCTATGCAGAAATTACTTAGCTAAGAAAGAAGCTGCTATCTATATGCTACTAAAACCCTGAGATTGTTTGTTTGTGTGTGTGTGCTTGTCTGTAACTGAATACAGCAAAAACGGTGCACAATAGGACCATATTTGTAATGAAATGAGAATAGAAACAGAATAAAACAAGTTTCATTAAAAACGGGCCACGGGTTACCAAGTTAGCACCATTTTTCGGGTCACTTTTCGTACATTCCATTATTATAAAAGTTTGTTTTCCACCTGATGAATCACTTTAAAACTTCATCTATACAACAATATATGCACAACAGAAATTAAATGATGAGATGAGAATGTGTTATACCGGCACATAGAAAGAACAACAATAAAATTGACCTACAATATTATTGACTAATTTGCAAATAGTAACTATTGAGACGAGGTAATAAAATTAAAAACCAACTCGAGAACAACAAACAAAATTTTATAAACGAAAACCTACTACACCG